AAACACTACTTGTTTTGTCCATAGTTGTTAGAACCGGACCGGCCGGTCGAACCGGTTTAACCGAGAACCGGTTGGGATACCGATCGGCTTGAAACACAAAACCGCTTTGGTAATGAACCGGACTCGAGCCGCTCAAACCGGTTAAAAACCGGTAAAACCGAAGAATCGGTCACGATTCAAGCGGATCAACGGTTCCTGTCCAGGATCTTACTTGGTAGAGCCAAAGTTGTTTATATAGCTGATTGCTTTGTTGTGTGTTTTGGATATAGGTAACTTACATGTGCTGCTTTTGTACAAAAGAATTAATCTGTGCCTATAAGCAATTACTTGGTTTGGAGTTCAAACTTGAAGCCCTCAATTCTATTATTTTTTGTTTTTGCCTTTGTATGACTTACGCATGATGCATGCATCATCCTAATTTTTTTTTTCATTATTATTTTTGTATGAAAATATTATTTATTATGCACCATTCCAACATACATGTGTAGTAATTTTAAATTTTAATCACAATCAAAACTCAATGGATTTTTAATTTTTTATTTACATAATGAAAATTGAAAAAAATAAATAAATAAACATCAGATTTGAAAATGAAAATACAAACTACAAACCTGTATGTCTATGATAAAATACAAATAAGATATTAATTATTGAGCTCTTATTTAAAAAAGTGTCATTATATACTACAAAATTAACGATAAAAATACATAGAAGGTACAACTACACATTATACATATAAAATAAATAAAATAATTATATATTAATTAAAAGTAATTTCATCCATCTTAACAAATAAAATTAAAATTGTTTATAAAAGACCTTAAATAATATCGACCGGTTCAACCACTGGTCCAACCACTAAACCATTGAACCAGTAGCTTTATCGGTTCGATGACCGATCCAATTTTGACAACCTTGATTTTGTCAGACATAGTTGTAGGTAAATTTTGAAAGGTAAGTTCTAACAGTTAAATTATCAAAAACATTGCTTTCAGGGAAATCTGACAACATATTTTTTCTATCAAAGTACTCTGTTAGGTGATTTGTAGTTGAGTAGTGAGTATATTATTTTTTTTATAAACAATATGAAAAACTCGTTTATAAATCATAAAAATATAATAAATTTACATATTTTTTGCGTGAAAATCGTAAGTTTAGGATTACATTATCATATTATGCATAAAAAAAATTACAAATATGAATTACGCATTAGAGATCATGTAATGTAAAGAATATATATAATAGCATTGTGTTATTATAAAATAGAAAAATTAATGTTTGTCCGTGAAAAATAATTCTAGTAAAAATGACTTCTCCAAAAGTCTTTATCATTTACTTTTATAGAATAGACTTTTTGGAAAACAACTTATCCATAAGTCCATTGTTAATTTAACACCAAACATAAATATTTATCCAAATGGACTTTTGCAACGAAAAGTCCATTTGAAAAGTGTTTCCAAACAAAATGCAGCGTAAAAGCAAAGTAAGAGAAGCGAAATTGAGCTTTTTTTTTTTTGTCACCGAATAGAAATATATTTTACTAGTGTGTAAGTTTGAAAATTTATATTTTTACAACATAAAACAAGTAAAATAATTCTTATTCATATTGTTAAATTATAAACCATAAATGTACAATAAATAAAAAAAATAACTAAGCGATATTATTCAATGTGAAATCCTTATTTTACAATCAATTGGTCAATTATTATAATATTTTAATTACATTTATAAGATTATATGTATCTAAATAAATATTTTCTACAATATACTGAAATGATTGTTTTATGGTATATTAATAATATTTTTATTTTGATACTAATCTAAAGTTTTATTCGATAATTCTCAATTTAAATTCTTTTATAAATATAAATGAAATTATTTTCATATTATATATAGTATGTATCAAAATTCATTATAAAATAATTAATTTGATATATCATATATGAAAAATAAATAGAAATATTTTCTCCTTAAATTATTAAAACTGAGAAGAATACATATTTATAATAATTAATATATGAATTATATATATATAAAAAAAAGATAATATATGGTAATTTAAGAAAAGGAAAAGTAATATATGGTAATTTAATAAAATGAAAGATACAATAGTCTTAGTTTTATAGGAATTGTTAAAACCAAATCTGCATATAAAATTAGCAATAGTTTTTGCTAGTTTCACATAGTTGGCATGTCGATTTGTCACAAAATAAGGTTGTTGCAAAAATGGGCAATACTAGGGATTTGAAGTTTGCAACTCTTCCTTCATCAATTTTGTTATGAAGCCAACAGTTGACTCAATAGTGAAACCAACCTTCTATATACAACGAGAAAATCATACCATATTCTCTGATTACCTAAATAAATATTAATAATTTTATTAATATGATATGTTTTACTTGTTGTATATAGAAGATTAGCTCCACTATGGAGTCAATTGTTGGCTCATAACAAAACTGTGTCCTCCATACGAAGACATGCATTAACATGCAGGTTAAGTTATTACATTCGCGGTGTTCATATAAAGTCAATTTCATATATATCATGAACACGACATTATTGACCTCCTTTATTGTACCCAAAAAAAATTCATATCATGAAGCTTTTATTTTAAATTCATTATTATTGTATTTAGAAGAGAAAAAACAGTTCATATATTTCCATTGGCACGTCAAATAAAACAAAAAAAAAAGGAAAATAGACATTTTTTTTTTCTAACGAACGATGCTGAATATAATTAACAAAAACAAAACACCATTATCATTTACATGGGATTACAACAAGATGACAAAAAATCAAAATAATAAAAATAGACCTTCCAACTCCTGGAAGAAGTTTGACATGAACTCATGCACTAGTTCTCTCATACCTTAACCAACAAGCTTAAAATTGTCTCTCGTCCAATCAGAACGTACAACATGAGTCATTTACTTTTGAGGGCAATAACGTAATTAATCAAACAAAAATAAGAAGAACAAAACAGCCCCTATAAAAATGAAGTAAAATTTCAACTTTATGAGACTCTGCCCATAAGTTGGCCAACTCACCCTGCCTTCCGGTGGAACTCAAATAACAAGAAGGAAAAAAGCATACATTGGAGAGCCTGGAATAAGCTGACCTTGCCTAAAAAGTTGGGAGGATTAGGGTTCCATGATCTGAACACATTCAATAGAGCACTGATATCAAAGCAGTTATGGAGACTACTAACTCACCCTAATCTTTTAGTCAGCAAAATTCTCAAGGCCAAATATTTCCAGAAGGAGGATTTTTTCACAGTCAAGCATAAGGGCAATAACTCATGGCTCTGGTCAAGCTGGCTCAAACAAAGAGACTCATTCACAAGTGGTCTCAGATACTCAATCAAAGATGGCAAGAGTGTGAAAATATGGGAACATCCATGGGTGCCAAACCTCCCAGGAATGAAACCTCAAAGAAGATCTACATCTGTAGCAACAATGGTTTGGGTCAAAGACCTAATGGAGGACTCAAAGAGAGGGTGGAATAGCGCACTGATAGAGGAAACTTTCACAAAAGCAGAAGCTAAAGCTATTCTGAATATCTCTGGACTTGATCCATATCAGAAAGACAGGTTACAGTGGGATTGGACAGCAAATGGTAAGTTTTCAGTTGCATCAGCCTACTCTACTCTGATTCAAAGGAAATTTCTAGAGTTGGATTTTCCAGAAGCTAGCCATGATCAGTCCAAAATTAGAAAAGCAAGAATGAGAACCTGGAATCTGAAAATCAAGCCAAAAGTGAAGCATTTTCTGTGGAAGGGACTTCACAACATATTACCTGTGAGCTGCAATCTAGGTAAGAGAGGTACGGAGCTTGATCAGATTTGCCAAATGTGTGGGGAGGACAGAGAGACTCAAGAGCACCTTTTCTTTCACTGCAAGAGAGCAAAGATCATCTGGAAACTTGCACCTGTGACATGGGAGGGTATTCAAGCAGACTCAGATAGCTTCAAACATTGGTGGCCTAAAGTTTGTTCAGTGGATAACTCCCCAACATCAGAAGCTCGACTGCAATTGTCTTCCTACATCCTTTGGTGGATGTGGAACACAAGGAACTTGTGGGTGTTCTCAAAGATGTGGAGATCAGAATGGGATACCATCAATTTGGCTGTTAAAGACTGGGAGGATGTTAATGTAATTAATAGTGTATTAGGTAGCTGTTAGTTGTTTTCTATTTGTAGTAGCTTTATCTATTTTGAAGATTAACTAGGTCTAGATGACAGTGGTTAGTCTTTGCTGCCGCAAAGACTATGGGCTCAAGTGGTATTCTTGTCAAGGAATGAACTCCCAGGCTCTTCTCCATGCAAGCTGGGATCTGATTTCTTTGATGATTGTTAGGGTTCTCTTACCTTAGTATGCTTTTTGTATTCGAGCTAGTTAGCTCGCGACTATGTAAAAGTTGTTTCCGAGTAATATATCCTACCGTTTCGAAAAAAAAAAAAAAGACTCTGCCCATATTTGCTTTCTAGGATGGAATTGAACTAAAATAGTAGTAATGTGA